TATTACTATAAGATGTACTTTGATAGGTTAGTCATTCCCTCCTCCCCACTCCCATGTTATTTCAGAAGCTGCAAAGACACTAGACTGAAATGAACAATTTTGAGCTGCCACATTTTTGACAGAGTCTGATTTTTCATTTGATTACCAATCATTTTCCTTTTTGCTATTTTAGCACCAGGCTATCATATGACAGTTTCCAGTCATTAAACCTCTGTTTTTCTCACATTCTTTCACTTCAGAAATCACTATGTTGAATTTAGATGTCTAGTCATAATAAGTGTCAGAAAACAGGTCACCGAGTCCAAATTACATTGAGATTACCAGGCCGCAAACAAAGCCAATGTTTAAAAAAAAAAAAAAGAGGGTAACCGCAAGCCTTTACTTGGATTGTGACGTGTAACTATCCGTCTAGAAATCAGTCAATGGCATTATACAACAGAAGGTCACAACATTATGCACTTTTGATTACTGATATATCATTTTTCCACATTTAATTTGGGAGCATCTTACTCAATTATGACTTATTTGAAGAGAAACAGATCAAAGAAAACTTTTTGTTTTTGGTAGACAGAAATGAAGCACATTAGTAGGTAACATCATTACTATATCTGGATTTGTAGTACATTATTTATTGTCTGTCATAACATTTAAAATATTTCTATTTTTGAAATACAGTATTTTAAAGATGTGCTTAATTTACTGATGTTATTGATGCCTTTTGTACTTTTCAATTGAATGATCTCTTGCATTTGGAGATCCCAAAGCATTCTACTCATTTAAATACTGATTGTATTTATGTTATTAAGATGCATACAATGCCCATTCAATAGAATAATAGAATATGAGAAAAGTGATAACAGGAAGCTTAATTCATTCCAACCCCAGGAAAAGAGAGCAAGTTAACAGTAGTCCTAGGAATAGCACTCTAAAATTGAGCCTGAGGTATGTGCATTTCCAATTTAATGCTAGACTAGCAAGATTGATAGAGCACATCAAAGAATCCCTAATGTGGTTATATTGCATTGGTGAATTGCAGGTCTGCTATAAACTGTAGAAAGTTGGTGATTTTAGTTTCCAATGAGAGAAATTTTCAAAAACCAAAGCTAAGGATGCTTTCAGAATATTTGTTAGTATGTGTGAGGGAAGAGCTTGAATGGGTCAGTTACATCCTACCTATGATAGTCTAATATTTAATTATTGCTAATGAGAAAATGTGTGAATTCAGTTTGATCTATTGAGTGATAACTATATGGATTCACACCAACTCGAATTTTTAAAAAACCCACAACTCTTTGACTGTATGGAAAGAGAACCTGGAATCAGAAAGGTAGATAAAATGCTAAATTGGATAACAATAAAAACAAAAATAGTTACACAGATGAGTTATATGATCTGATATCAAATACGTAGGCTCTTGTGTCTTAATATGCATACCTGTATTGACATTATTAATTCATGTACAGTTAGTTATTACCCCCACAATTAGCTTTTATTTAAAGTAAAGCATGTTTTATCATATTAAAGAAAAACATATCTGACTATATCTTCAAGTTAGGAAGACCTGGGTTCAAATTCTACCTTACTAACTAACTTACTAGATGTGTTACCCTGGTCAAGTTACACCCTTAACTTCAGTTATCAATGTGTATGATTCCAAAATCTGTAATGCTATCCACTCAACAGTCTACTATGTATAAAGTAAAAGGTAGATTGTTGGTGTACTTTAGGGTAGCCCATTGGGTTGAGAGGACCTGCATTCATGGCCCACCTCTCACATTTACTAGCAGGTTACTCAACTCTTCATTGTGATTATGTGAGATCCTGGACAAAGAGCTTCACAGTCCTTAACACTTGACATGAATAGCAAAATCATTTTTTTTTCATTTTTCCTTTCTGTTTCCAATACCAACATCTTGGTTTAATCCTTCAATATTCTGGGCTAAGATGACCACAATAGCAAACTAACTGGTCTCTCAGCTGTAGTTTTTCATGATTTAAATCCATGCTACAGAGTACAGTTGGATCAGTCTCCTCAAGGGGACTATGTTACTCTGCTATACCATCCCCTCATTGCCTAAGAGATAAGTTCCAAACTCTTCCAGTCTAGTATTCAAGAGGAGAGGGGTGTGTGTGTGTGTGTGTGTGTGTGTGTGTGTGTGATTATGAAATGGTGGGTTCACATTAAATTCTCTTCTAGCTCTAAATTCCACTATTTTATGCTATAGTCAAATAAGATTTCTCAGCATTCTCCAAACATGATGACCTCCTTCCACACCTAGATCTATGTTCATACTATTCCTTTCTTATGAATGACTAATGTCCCTTCACCCTGGTCCATTCCTACATCCTTAAAATTTAGAAAAGTATAGAATTTAGATCTAAAGATCATAGAAACGAAAATCACAGAAATTCAAAATTTAAATACATAGGTAACAAGGTGGCACAGTGGATAGAGTGCTGGACTATAAGTCAGAAAGACCCGAGTTCAATCTGGCCTGACTCAAATTATCTATATGACTCTGGGAATCAAATGAAATTTCTCTAGGCCTCAGTTTCCTCATCTGTAAAATGAGCATAATAAGAGCTCCTAACTGTCAGGGCTGTGGTGGGGATAAAAATGAAATATAGGCAAAATGCTATGCATAAATTAAAGTACTATATAGACAGCAGCTATTATTACCCCCAAATCAAACACTACAAGATATTCAACTTGTCATTCAGATTCTACTTGAAGATGTCCAATGAAGAGCAGACAACTATCTCCCAAAACAACCCATTCCACTTCTGGCTAGTTTAATTTTTAGAAAGTGTTCCACCATTCATAAAAGGTCTTCATTTATCCATTTTCAGCTTTAAGCTACTGCTCCTAGTTTTGACCCCCATGGCCAAGAAGATCAAACAATGTAATAATCTTTTTGGCATTTAAAAACAGCCATGATAACTTCTCTTTTCCTTACTCTACATCCCTAGTTCCTTCAACTAATTCTCAAGGTGCTTTACCATCCTGGCTATTCTCTGGTTTATTCAGCCCATTGCTAAATTGCAGGATCTGGAAGTGGTACATTCTTACAGGGCAGAGTAGCAAAGGATCTTTAATCTCCTTATTCCTGGAAGGTATTTTTTTCATGTATCCCAAGATCACCTTAAAATTTTGGCTGCAACATCATTCTGCTCACACGTATTGAGCTTGTGGTTCATTAAAACCTTTGGATCTTCCTCAGACTTCCTATGCCTTCCCTCTTTGGTCCTAGTAACCTTGAATTCTTGAACCCAGCTGTGAGATTTTTTATTTTTTCCCCCTTTGATTTGTCATTCTATTATTAGATTCAACCAAACATTCTTGGTGATCAAGGTCATATGGTTATTAAGTAACAACTGTGATGCAAACCAAGTCCTAAGAGAGAAATAATCATTTCTCTCTTATATTAATAATGAATTACTGAATTAGGAACAAGGTTTTCCCCCCCCCTTCTATTTCTTCATTCCCTATAGGCTATTCAGTCAGCCTTTGAAGGGCAGGGTGGATAAAGAAATGAAATCTTGGGCAGATACACCCTATTGGGAAACTCGGATCTGTTCAGTAGGTTAAGAAATTTTAGTTTAGGTGAATTGATGGATTCCAGTTAATTGTGTTTTTCTCAGGCATGTCTGGATAGAAGTACATCCCCCTACATGTCTGTTTACCCTAGATGAGGTGATAAGGGTATAAATAGATCTCTTTTACCAAGATTGAGTGATCAGAGTAACTTCTCCAGACACTTATTAGAATAAGCTCATCTCTCATTATAATATCTATTCTCTCATTACTTGTTAACCAATCAAAGCCGATTGCCACCCTAAAAAACACCTACTCTTCCAAGCACATATAAACATTGAGTGGGTTCCATGAGGGGTCTTTGGCATTTGAGAGTGCCACTGACCTCTTTTATTAATTATCCACTAGCATGATTAATAAAAATGACTAATTACCCAGAAACTCTCTTAAACTTTTTCATATGTGACACATCAGATTAAAAATCCAGTGTTCCTTCCATTAAACCTCCATTTCTTTAAAACATCCTTCCTCTAATCCCCAGAAGCACTTTACTTATAATACTCATTATTAGGTTTTTTTTAAATTTCTTATTTCTTTATTCTTGGATGTCTAATTATCTGTGTGCCGATTTTATTCCATTTATTACACATCAAGGTTATATACAGCAGAAATCATGCTTAATACCCCTTTTTAGTCCCCACGATACCTACCATAGAGCAATAATTGCAGATTGGACCTGACTGTACATTGTCTTGCAAATGGATATGTAACTAACTAGATTTAGACACACTAGATTTGCAAAGCAAATTCTCATCTATGGTGTTTTGCAAATAATAAGCACAACAAATGTCTAGTGAATTAAAGTGAATTCAGGCCTTTCAGTGTCAGTTCAAGGCCAAGTTGAGAGAGGGTCACCTTTCCTTGAGATTCTCATGGCCAGACACCCGGGAATGGGAGAGGGACATCCCCTAGACATGACTATGCTTGACTTCAATGTCACTTATGAAAAAAAAAATCCTTATAGAAGGTGAAGAGTCTTCCTTGCATCTAAAATGATCTGGTATCTACATCATGAAAAGGATGAAGAGAATTCTTCACACTGGTGCCAAGTGCTTGTATGCCTCTCTGTGTCCTTTTGTGTCATTTATGACTACGGGACATACCTCTAGAACATTAGCTCTTCACTAAGAAAGGTAGCACCTTACAAGATTTCTGTGGGTTATGATTGTGGACCATTACTGTCCTTATTTCAAAGTTAGCTAGAGTATGTAAATCCTTCCTTAGTCCTCTAGAGTTTTATAAAACCAGAAGTAGTGTTGATAAAATTTGTGTGCCTTGCAGGGAAGCTGGAAATAAGATCAGTATTAATTGAAATGTTTTGTTTGATCTTATTTTGTTCCAATTTCCCCCAAAAACTTGCCCAGTGGAAGGGAGAATTGCTTGTGCATGTCATTGTGATACTCACGTCAAACTCATTGAGGGCAGCTGCCAGCTCTCCAATGCCAGTGTGCCCTTTGTTTTCGTCGGTGGGTGAAGTAGCCTGCGCTGCATTTGAAATGCCAGCGATCGCTTCCTGCACTTGTTTGAACACGTAGTCCCGGTTGGCCCTTGTGGCAGCCACATCTGGATGACGGAGAAATGCTTGGGAAGCTGTGTACAGCATAGTGGCATTCTTCTTCAGAGCCCCTCGGGCAGCTGCCATCTCATCCCTACAGTGAGGGTCCTTCAGTTCCTGAACAAAGGAAACATGGACACACACCATAAATACATGTTTGTTTTTCAAAAGCCCTTGGAGCCATAGAGTGAAAAGGAATCTTAGAGATCATCAACTCAATTAGCCTTTATGTTACAGATGAGAAAACTGAGACCCAAATATGTAAAGTTATACCCTTAACATTGCATAGGCAGAGAGCAGCAGAAATAGGACTTCTTCTTTATCTGTGCATATACCTTCAAAAATAGGTGCAGAATAAAAGCACATTGAGTTTATGTCAGGTCCCTCATAGCCATCTTGCCTACCCTTTTGTATAGTTTTCATTTCAGAAAGACTTGGCATCTCTGACAATTCAATTCTTATACTTTTTGACAAAAAAAAAAGAATCCCAATGATTGGGAAATCAATGTCACACTGGAGCCAACAGAAAAGCTATTCGTGAGTAATCCTTGAGAGAGTGATTAAATCTCCTTTTAGAGGCCAGAAAATATTATCTCCATTTGAAGAGATAATGTTGACGGAGAGCTGCTCCCTATTGGCCAATTGTGGGTGAGGGGATAGAGGTGGAGGGCAGAGATGTTCCCACTGTAAAAGGATCATGGGTTTAGAATTTTTTGACAATATAAAATTGCAGAATCTCAGAGTTGGAAGGGACATCTGTGGCTATTTAATTCATGAAAGAAATAAATAATTTACCCACTGGAAAAACAACCCCTTACTAAAACAACTAGTTATTCAGCCCTTGTTTAAAGACCTCCAGTAGGGGAATGGCAGGTAGAAAGTAAGCTCTTTAGGACTGTTGTATCCCCAGTATCTCAGTGACCTGTCCCCAAAGAGCTGAACTGAACTTCCTAGGCCAATCCATTCCACTTTGGGACAGCTAGAATTGTTAGGAAATGTTCTCTCCTTGTAAGGCTAAATCTATGCCGCTGTAGCTTCCAACAACAACCCTTATTCTCTACTTTGTGGACTGAACAAAGCAAGTCTAGTCCCTTTTATAGGTTGCACGGTAGACAGAATGCTGAGTCTAGAGTCAGGAAGACTTATATTCAAAATCAGCCTTAGACATTTGTTAATTGTGTGACTCTGGACAAGTTGCTTAACCCCTTAGTCTCATTTTCCTAATCTGTAAAGTTGGGATAATAATAGCAGCTCCCTCACCCTGTTTTTGTCAGGTTCAAATGAGATCACATTTGTAAAGTGCTCTGCAAAACTTTAGGATGCCACCACCACCACCATCAACACCCCCACCACCCCCACCGCCGCCACCACCACCGCCACCCTCGCCACTGCCATCACCACCACCGCCACCACCACCACCACCACCACCACCACCACCTGCCACCACCACCACCACCGCCACCACCACCACCGCCATCACCATCATCAATCAAAAAGATTCTTCACACCCTTTAAGGCTATTTTCATTCTCCTCTCCCATGTTTTCTCTTTTGCAAACTAGCAATTCTCAGGCTTTTCAAATAGAATATTCAGAAGGCTGTCCTATGCTAGAGCTTTTTCTAGTGGCATGCCCTCATCTGGTGAGTGACAAGAGAGGGATCTGCTGAAATGATTTCTAGGCATGAAACTCAGCCTGAAAAATGTGCATGAAATCTGCTGACTGTGCTAGGGGCTCCCAACTGTGACAATAGATGATTATCAAATGATTGAGCATCTGCTTGCCTGTCTTTGATCACCAAGTCCAAATGGATAGCATCCAGAAGTAAATGCAAACTTGAATTGTTTATTTGAGCCTGAGAAATGGATGGATAGATAGCAAGGCACGGTCACAGCCTTACCATACATAATGAATTCTCAAGTAGCTGAGAAAGGGATATGAAAGGAGATTCTCAACAATCTCATCACTGCCATCCCTATCACACCTACACTTTTAACCCACATTGGTTTGATTAAGAATGAGGGAGGTCAGTCAGAGAAGATACTGTGTGCACAAATATGTGTATGAATGGCTCTCTCTGAAAGCATCCCATTGGGGGATATTCTTAGCCTCTGAGAGTGATATAGAAAAGGACAACCTTATGCACTCCTCCACAACACATTATTTTTATTTTGTTTGTTTATTTGTTTGTCACCCTGGCAATTCTTATAGGCTCTGGCTTCCATACAAAATGAATAGCTCTATTTATTTTTTTTTTACTTGTGACTTACAAAGGTCTGCTAGGCATGCATAATATAAAACAACCATCACAACCATCATTATTAAACTACCATGTTTGAATTTTTTTCCACGTCTTTCTGTGCTAATATTAATGGAGGAGGATGACACTCTTCTTTATAAGAAATCTTGGGAAAGTCATGTCCTCTTTCAGAGATTCAGTTGTCTCATTTGTAAAATTGAGGGTCCTGGAGTAGACAGTCACACAGAATCACAGAATTTTAGAGCAGGCTAGTTTCAAAGTCCATCTAATCTAAACCATTTCTGTGAAAGAATCTACATTAAAATGAAGCCAACAAGTGCCTGAAGACCTCTGACAAAACATTCACTGAGTCTGCCTTAGATAAAAATACAAAGCAAGAAGATGAAAGAACTAACACTAACCTCTATTCCTAGCTTTCAAGGCAAGCCTTAAGTTTAAGAAAAATAACCTCAGACTAACATTTATATACTCAGGGCCTTCATTAAGCTTTCATTCAGTACTCATTATGTGCTAAGCATTGGGCAAGATGCTGGGAATAATACAAAAATGAGACATTTCCTATACTCAAGGACGTTACACTCCAGTAGCAGGATAGAACACATATAAATGAGCACTAGTCAGCAAAGGGAGTTATGGTCTAGACAGTCACCAAAAATGTAAGTGGAGCCACAAGGTAAGAGTTGGTCTACCCTTTCAGTAGCATTGGTAGTATTCGTTTAATTATTGTTCTGAGAGCAAGAGCTAAGAATTGGGAAAGGTGGTGGGAGAAGGGCTTAAAATATGAAGTAAAGCTTGATTTCATGGTGTCTTAGTGGAGGGTAGGCTATGCTGTAAGCATGGTCTGGAGTTGGCTAAATATAATGAATTAACATGAGTTTTCACTCACTTATACACTAATCAAAATTAATCATTTAAGTTAGGCATCATCATCCTATATTTTTATGGAACATGGAGTTGGTTAAGAAGAAAGATACTTTTCATTTGTATCAGAATTAAATGTTTTCTTTTGAAACTACATTGAGTCAGAGTTGAGAAACTATGTCTCAAAAATTGAAAAAAAAAATGTTCCTGAAACTGAGATAAGGAATTGGCTTCCATTCAAGAAAAGAATCTGGCAAATCTTAGGTAGTATGCCAAATTTAAAAAAAAAAACCATTTATATGATTACATGAAATCTCTTCTGTAACTATACATGCTCCCTCCCTCACCTGCTGTCTTCTGGCAGCTACATAGTTCAATTTCACCATCTCTTTTCCAAACTCCTTAAAGCGATTTGCAAGGTCTTGCTCATTTGTAGCATTTTTCACAGCTTCCAGAGCTTCTTCAACCTAAAATTTAAAAAAAAAGTCAAAAGAATTAAAGCTGAAAGATGTTTAACTTAGAATAACATTATTTAAGAGTGTGCTATTATAACATTTTAAATTGACTTTCTACATTCATGTAAATGTTCAAAATACTTGGGTGTGTAAATCTTCCCTGCCTACCACAAGAAGGAGGAGGAATCACCATTGAAATTTTATTAAATATCAATGGAATTTGAAAGAAAAAAAATTAGTCATTCAGTTGGATTCAACCAGCATTTATTAAGTCCATAATGGTGTGACAGGCTCTCTCCATCAACCTAGGTACCAGCCCCTCATCCCAACAGTTCCTAAATCTGACCTATTCTTGTGTCAATACCTCTTGGAATGTCCCTTCAACTCTGTGCTCATGACCATGAAACTGGAGCAAGTCAGTATGACCTCTCCCCAGGACTACGGAAATGGCTTCTTAACTGCTGGCATTCAAATTCTTCTATAATCTGATTCTAACACTGTTTGTACAGTTAGAGGTCAGTTAGTATTATTCAGGAGAGACACAATTTCCAAAACAGTAGAAATTTATTCTTGAACCACCAAGCTGACATTAACAAGTCAATTTCTTACTTGAATAGAATCAGGATATGAAACATTCAGGTCAAGTTGCTGCTATGAGATTTATTACTTGTATATTTTTGGGGAAATCACTTAAATACTCTCCATTTTTGAAATGTATAAATTAAGGAGTATGATATGTATACCACATTTTTCACAAGGCTGTAGTGATTGTTTTTTAATTATGAAGGGATTTAGATATTTGAATTATTATTACTATGCAATCATCGTAAAATGAATTGGCCTATTGGTTACTTTCACCACAAAAAGAGAAGAATGGGCAAGAGTGTGCTGGAGTCAGATTGTACAGCATTGTTCAATTTTCCAGAGAGCAATGACTTCTCAGGAATCAGTGGAGGCTACACATTGTGGCTTGATTTACTGTTGTTTTGATTGTCTCTACTTTTGAAAGAAGTGGAGAAAATGTTGATAATATAAACTAAACTTAAACGTGTATTCTGTGCATGTATTTTTTTTTGTGGAGAACAAGTTGTTAAATATTTTTCAGCATTCCTGTGGTGAGGTGTCTTCCTTTGAATAGTTCCAGACTTAAAGAGAGATCACAATTGAGTACCAGCTAAGCCAGAAGAAAACATCTACTCCAACCCCTCTCCCCATGCCACACATGCATATCCAAATGCATTCACACTTGCACCTGCATGCATACACCTGCACACATAAGCACCTGGACACATACAAACCACATACACGCTATACTTTATAGAGCTCTTGAGGCAATAAGATCCTGGCCACATAAGTTTTGACAGAAGACAAGGGACAGTCTTCATGGAAATCAGTGTAGAGAAGAGCAGACTAGGATAAGGTATCAGATTCCTGTGCAGCAAGAACTTCTGGATACTCTTGGGGAAGGTACCCAAAGGGAAGGAGAGATTTGAAAAGTTACAAGAGGCAGAGGCAGGAAATCAGCTATGAATATGTCTGAAATTCACTGAGAATTTACTATATTGGTTTTTGTCTTATTAACATTCAAGCTATGCCTAACTGATTGCATAAAATGTCCCAGTCTGAACTTGTCACTAAAGTAGGCCAAACAGACATGGGGAAGTACAATTATTTCAGTTATTTAAATAAAATGCATTAAAATTTGACCAACTCATCTGAAAGCAGTAACATAACTTACTAATATCATTCATTTACATTGCATAATGGGAAAGTACAGTGTAGAAAAGACAGTGATTACTATCATTTAATCTTTTATCTAACAATGCAGTTTAGTTTCATTTATTGGTTCATTTCAAAAGACTAATTCATTGTGGGAAGAAATAATTTTAATATGAACTAAGTTACTTATTGCAGTACATTCCTTTCAAAGAGCCTCAAACTAAACATAACTCTTCATTTTAATTGTACACACTATACCTCTGTATAATTTCTATATTTAATTATGGAAATTATTAAAAGGCAAATAGACAACCCAACATAAGTTTCCTCCAATGCTCATTAAAAATAACATTGACTAGAATTAATCTACACATTTAGAAAGGCAGTTAAATAATTGTTTTGTTGTGGTGGTTGATTTTGCTTGGTTTAGTAACAGCAATGGAGGCAAACATGCTGTATCTTTCAGAAGAATGTAATCTCTTTGAGGGGAGGAATTCTTTTTAACTTGTCATTCTTTTTAAAAAAATCCCATTCCCTAGTATAATGTCTTGCACACAGCAGGCCCTTATAAGCGTGTATAATTGATGAATACCTCCCTTTCTCCCCTCTCTTGATGCAAGTGAAAATTATTATGAGCCTATTTCAAAAGCATTTTTGATCTCATAAAGATTTTGAAAAGTTATAATCCTCAGGCATTAATAGGGATCAACGAACAGAGAGACTGTAGGGAAGGGAATGGTACTGGATATTTGAATGGAGAAAGGTCTCTAGAATGTTGCATCCTGTTAGCTTAAATACATTTTGCTCTCAACACATCACAGTCTCAGTACATTGCAATTCAACAAACATTTACCACTGAACTGTAAGCCAACATCAAAAATAAACAAACAAACAAAACCCCAGAGTTTGCCCTCCAGAGCTACCATTCTACTTGAAGCATGCAACACTATAGATATATGTAAGCATGAATTAACATGAGAAGGGGAAAAGCACCTGGGCAGGCGGGAGGCAGATCAAAGAGAGTTTCACTGAAATAGGAGACTTCCCATAATAATCTGGGTTAACCTGGAAGGGAGAGATCACTGGAGGAGGGTAGGTTTAAGGAAATAAATTGGGGTGAAAATAATCACCGGCATGCACAGCAAGGAAGGTAGGCATTAATGTTTGTCAAAAAGACGGTAAATCAATAAGGAGAACCTGACTTAAATTGGGTGTTGTCAAAGTCATAACTTTTTTTTGCGTGAAAAATAGGGACGAAGTTAAAGTGTATATTGGACAAACCAATCTATGGCAAAATTAGATTTATTTTTTTCCTTAAATTTAATAGTATTATATTTTTCCCAATTACATGTAAAGACAATTTTCAAGACTAGATTTAGGATAGATTTTCATGTGCCCATAAACTCACCAATTCTATGGTTTTAAGGATTTACTTTGCTTTATTTTTCTTTTAGTTAGAGCAATTTTATAAAGATACTCTTGTCTATATTCTTATAGTCAGTAATATATACATGTATATATATATATATATATATATATATATATATATATATATATTTAAGAGCCTACTATGTGCCAATATGTCAATATGTATATTGAAGTAACCATAATATTTCTGCAGTAGTTGGGGAGGAAAGAAAGATTACAAGCTAGTCACTGAACTAATTAAGGAAAGAAGAGGAGTGATATGGATGTCAGTGCCTGGGTGTCAGTGGACAACAGCCACTAGAGTTTTGATTGGGTGATAGATACGGATTGAATGAATCTCCAAGGAGAATAGGATAATGAGTGATGAAGGCAGAGAGAGAATCTCAAACTGGCTATGGGGAGCACAGAAACACTCACCCCATTTTGGCCATTGAGAAAGGGAGAGTGAGTTAAAGAAAGAGTGGTGAGGGAGGCTGTCATCAGGAAGGACTCAGGTTGCAGTAAGAACAATAAAATGAAAAAAGTGAGAAAGGAAAAGGTCTAATATGAAAGCAAGGTTTTTGCTCATACAGCAAATTGTACAGAGAGCACAGTGGAAAGGAGGTGTAGCTTTAGGGTACGACATTGGAAGCATTCAGTTGAGAAGGAGGGAAATTGGAGAGCAATCATTAGGGGATGAAGAAAACCATTTGTAAAAATGGCATCCAGAGTTTCAAGATGACTGGGACAGGGAGACTGAGAGGAGCTTGTTAATGATTCCCAAATGAGTTCATAAGGGGTATTAACATCACTATAGGTATGGCCTCGGGGTGGTGTTCTCTCAAGGTGTTAGGCAGCTCAGGCTAGGGGTCTAGTGGTGGCAGATGACTGACATTCATTTCTCTCATTTTCCTGAAGGCAGGCCAGGTCAAGAACTAGGTGGAGGAAGCAGGAAGGAATGGTGTCTTTCCCTGTCCTCTGCAGGCAGGGAAGATTCCCTTGCATTTGGGATACGGTTGACCCAGAAGACTAACTCATGATGGAAGGTTTCTGGAACAATGTCTCTCTGTTCCCCCTACTGGAAGAAAGAAGGCAGATCAGGAGAATGACAGCCATTGGAATGGCATCTCTAATCTCCCCCAGGCAGAGGATGGACGACTTGCCCCCACTTTGGGAAAGAGAACACAATGCACAGCCAAGTGCCCCTCATGCTGGCAAGGGAACAGCACAAGGTGCAGGCCCCTCCTCTTGGTTCACCCATCCCGAAAGGTAGGCTTAAGGAGAGCTGGACAACATCAGCAAGGACTATTGTAATTTTGCTTAGACTTGCCTCCTACTCATTCTATGCTACCATGCCCCCGTACAGTTTGTTAAAACCATATCCTAAATTGGAAAGGGATTTCATAGGCTTAAGAAGAAAACAGAAGAAAGCAGTGGTGTCTATTTCCATCTAATTTATGAAGGCAATGCATAGCTTTCTATATGGTCAATACTAGTGAGAGGGAGAGAAAGAGAGAGAGAGAGAGAGAGAGAGAGAGAGAGAGAGAGAAGAGAGAGAGAGAGAAGAGAGAGGAGACAGAGGAGACAGAGCGAGAGAGAGAGAGAGAGAGAGAGAGAGAGAGAGAGAGAGAGAGAGTCCTGTACTGTTATACTGTTAATAGGCTCATGATGGTTATTTGAGTATTAATTCTGTCTTTGGGACACAACAGTTGATTTCAAGGAAAACAGAAATTATTATTTCTGAAAGGCCCATAATAACGCCTATTTTAATATAACAACATGTTCTACTGCTTGTTAATGAGAACCAATTTCAGGACTTTGTTCCATTGTGATGCTCATAACTTACTGTTCTCATTAGTTTTCAGTAAAGAAACCAGATGCTGGCT